CCCCAAACAGACCGCCCAGAGTCTGAGGCTTCCAGAGTCGGCGGCGGCGCCTGCTGCTCCTCGCCGTCGCCGTCCCGCCTCTCCTGCGGCGAGCGGGGGGGGGGGAGCGGCGTCCAGGCGCTGGTTATCAGCAACAAAAGGACCGCTAACCCTTTGGGAGGGGACCTGAGCTAGGAGGGCCAAGAACATGGGGGACAGGGGGTCTTCTCTGCAGACGCATGGAGCCAGACCGCCCAGATCTACTTTAAACCCTGAAGGCGAAGACGGGGACCCAAGTTGGGCCACGCACGTCCTCGTCGTGCTTTGTTGGGGTCAGGGGCTCCTTCCTTCTCGATGAGCTGCGATGCGATGCGATGGGGCCACCGTTGCGGACAGCGTCTGGGCCTACTCAAGACCGGGTGGGCGAGGCCGTGGCCTCGGGAATCTGGCGTGGCCTCGATGAGCTGGGGCTCCACAGGGCCGCCGTCGGGGGGGCCGCCGAGGAAGCCGGGCGAGACTCCTTGGGGCGGGGGGCGATCTGCCGAGAGGCAGCCTCGGGCGTCGGGGGGGTGTCGGGCGGGCGCTCCCCAGGACGGCCAGCATGCAATGACAGGGAAGCGCGGTGAGGACGCAAGGGCCTCGGAGAGCCGTGTTGGCGTTTTCGTCGAGTGGAGCTGGCCAGCGAAAGCTGCCAAGGATGGCTCGACGGGGAAGCCTGGGCCTCCCGCATGGGGTCCAAGTGCAGTCAGCCCGTGTCATGAGGGCGCACGATGAGGATGCCAGGGCCTCGGGAGGCCCCGTCGACACTCTGCGAGCGGGGCGCGGCCAGCGAAAGCGACCGAGGATGGGCCGAGGAGGCAAGGGTGCCCGGGTACCCTTAGGAAGGTTGCCCATCCCTAATATGCGGTTCGACTGTAAGCTTGGAGAGCTGCTCGTCCTTGCTATGCGGGGTTGGCTGTACCAAGACAGCCTGACGGACAGACGGCCCATCTGCAGCGTTTGCGTGCCGCTGGACCGTCTGCCACTGGGCAGATCTGGCTCTGCCGCGGCCAGGGCCGGGGCTCACCGCCCAGCGCGGCGGGCTCGGAGCCGATCCACCTGGGATGCCCCGCGGGGGGTCTGCGCACTTGCGCTGAGCTCCCGATCGCAGGCCCGACCCGGCGGCGAGGGCGCAGCCAGCGGGGGCGGGCACTCGACGAAGCGGGCACAGCTTCACTTGCAGCATGGAGCGTGACACTTGCCTCTGTTCGGACGTCCATTCCGCGTGCGTGCCCCGCGGCCGCCCCCTCTCTCTTTTTGTTTCTGCCCCTCCTGCCGCCGGACAGTGAGCGCCTGCCGTCACTGGGCCCGCCCGAGCGCGCGTGCGGACTGCCTCTGCCGCGCTGCGACGTAAAACGTTCCGGCGTCGTCTCCCCATGCGGTGTTTGTACCTCGGGGTTCTCTCGTCGGCTTCTGAGCAGTCCGGTTGGTCCGCCAACGGCTTCGCCACGTTCCCGCCCGTGGGCGCCTCGTGGGCGCCTCTTGCGCCGGGTGGGTCCGCCCAGGTTTCGCCTGGTGCCCGCGTGTGGGCGCCTCGTTCGCCTGGGGTGGGTCCGCCGAGGCTGCGCTCGGTGCCCGCCCGTGGGCGCCTCGTGCGCGGGGGGGGGGGGCGCCGCCCGGTGCCCGCCCGCGTGGGCGCCTCGTGGGCGCTTCGTTCGCTGGGTGGCTCCGCCGAGGCCTCGCAGCGCTCACGCCCGTGGCCCGCTCGTGGGCGCCTCGCGGGCGCAGCCGAGCAGTACAGCGTGCACCGCACGACTTGCGCCGCAGGGCCTGGGCAACGTAGCTTGCACCGCATGGCTTGCGCAACATAGCTGACTCAACGTAGCGTGCATCGAATAGAGTTCTTCCCCTGACCCACATTACACAGCTTACACCGCATAACGTTCACCTCCAGCTCAAAACAGGAGCCTACACCGCACAGCGTACGTCTCATAGCTTACACCACACCAGTTCCATCTCCAGAGTGAAATAATTAAGGGGGTCCACGCAGGCCAAGAGCATCTATATATATATATATATATAGATGTATTGCATGCGTTGGTGTGTTTGGCATCTCTCTCTCTCTCTCCATCTCTCCGTGCGTACTTCTTTGTGCCTTTCCTACACACACCCATTTTCTTCCTTTGCCTTCATCCCTCCCATCGTCGTCTGCTGGTCCCTGGCTAGTGCCAGCGGCGTCATGTTAGCCCTGGTGATGACATTCGGGTCGGCCTCGAGCTCGATGAGCTTGAAGACCTGCCACCGAGGAACTGGAGCGGGAGGCGAACACCGGGAAGTCGTAAACTGGAGCCGAATACGAAGTTTCCTTGGGGCGAATCCCTTGTGGGGGGCTAGAGCACGCGAGGAGGGGGGAAGTAGACGGCAAGGTGATGACCACAGCGGGGAGGTGAACGGCGACACGGGCAGTGCAACGACGAGTTCCAATCCATCCACGACTGCGCCTGTGAATCTTCCCACACCCAGTGTCGATCCTGGCCGCGATCGTCACGAACATGTGGAGGAAGCGGAAGCGGAACGCCGGAGTCGTGCGCGCTCTGATGGGGATCCCGCCTGTGCCCATCGGGACACGGCGTGGAGGCCGTAGCCTCGAAGAGGGAGGCAGGAAGGAGGAAGGGGTAGGAGGAGGAGGAGAAGGAGGAGGATGAGGAGGAGGAGGAGGAAGATGGAGGAGGGGGTAGGAGGAGGAGCAGGAGGAGGGAGGAGGGAGGAGGAGGAGGAGGAGGAGGAGGAGGAGGAGGAGGAGGAGGAGGAGGAGGAGGAGGAGGAGGAGGAGGAGGAGGAGGAGGAGGAGGAGGGAGGAGTGACCGCTCAATTGTTCATCCCCAGCCCCCCCTCCCCGCCAGAGGCAGGCAGGCGTCCGCGCAGGCGACGCACAAGGGCGTCCAGCCGTCGGGGGAGCGCGGCGCATTGATGTCGAGTCGGCCTGGAGGGAAGAGGACGAGGCGAAGGAGGGAGGAAGGAGGAGGGAGAAGGTAACGGGGGAATAACAATTTAGCCTGGCATATGAAGGACCCAACCATATGCAGTTGTGAACACCGTCGTTGTTAGTATCGCCTTCGGTAAATCTCATTATGGGGCCACGAAGCGAGTTAAGAGTGTGCCGAAATGGGGAGGGGCCGCCAGGCGGGCGCTGCTACTGGGGCCTGATGTAGAGCCCCCTTTATGGGGCCAACAAAAATCTGTGAGGGATGTGCCGAAATGGGGCGGGGAAGCCATGCGGCCGCTGCCACTGGGGCCTTCGGTGAAGCTCCCTATGGGGCCGCGAAAAGCGCGAGGGGCGAGCGGCGATGATGGCGATAGTCGTAGTGGTAGAGGTAGAGCCGTAGAGTACAGTAAGAGAGCCGCCCTCAATCCGTGAAACCCTTGCAACGTTTCCAAAACGAATGTGCGCGGCGCTGGAGCGAGAACAACATTTTGAACACGAGCTGCCCTCCATCCGTGAAGCTCTTGCAAGTCTGAAAAAATGCGCGCGGCGCTAGGGCGAGAACAACATTTTGAAACCGAGCCGCCCTCAGTCCGTGAAACTGTTGCCAGATTTTGAAACAAATGAGAACGGCGCTAAGGCGGGAGCCACAACCCGCCCTGCATCCGTGAAACTCTTGCAAATTTTTGAAGCGAATGCGCAAGGCTCTAAGGCGATAGCCCCATTATCCTTCCGGTGCAGGATAACGCTTCCGGTGCGGGGAAGCGCTATCCTTTTGCCGGAAGGGCGGGGGGGGTCTTGAAAACTTCATGAGGTTAAATCGAAAGCCACATGTTGAACATGACCCGCACTCCATCCGTGAAGCTGTTGCGAACTTCAAACCTCAGGGTTAGAAATGGCGAGGAAGTGTCACGCGAAACGCCCGACCCGCCCTACTGTCACGTCTAGGGGTGCGACTGGGAGGAGCCATTCATGAGGAAGAAAAAGTCCAGGAGGAGGAGGACGAGGCCGTACCCAGGAGCTGTGATCGACCCCTTGTGTTTACACTGCTCGCGAGAGAGATGGGGGACGGCGGAGAGAAAGGAGGAGGATGCGGGGGGGAGGAGAAGCGGGAAGAGGAGGGGGGGAGGGAGAAGAGAGGGAGAATGATCGGGACGGGGAAGATCGGAAGGAGGGGGCAGGAAGGGGGAAGGAGGGGGTGAGAGGGAGGGAGGGGGGGGAAGGAGGGCCAGGACGGGGGGAGAGCGCCCGCCCTGCGACAGCAACTGCACGATGCGCCACGCGTCGCTGAAGTTGTCGCGGTTGGTCACCTCGCCGGCCGGCGGCCAGCCGCCCGCGCCGCGCCGCCCGGGCAGAGGGCGAGAGGCCGGGGAGTGCGCCATGGGGCGGGGCGGACGGCGGGCAATCTCCCAGCCCCGCGGGCCTCGCACACGATGTGCAGCGACTGCGAGAGCTCCTCCAGCTCCTCGCCGAGCCCCGGGTTCAGACCCCCTCGCGCTGCGAAAGAAGCACGACGGAGGTCTGGGGCCACTCTCGGCCCCCCAGGGCCCTCAGCGGGCCCCCCGAGGAAGGGGTCCAGACATCTGGGGGTCGACGTTCTGAAAAAAATCACTACGTCGGGGGTCTGGGGAGGGGGTTCGGGGATGCGCCCGCCGACGGTGCCGAGCGAGCGGCGGTAGGAGAGCGGGCGAAGGAGGGAGGGGAATGGAAGGGGAGGGGGAGGGGGGGAGGAGGGGGAGGGTGAGCGAGGCGGGAGGTAGGGAGGGGGGGAAGGTGATGGGCTTAGTGAGTGTTGAAAACGCTCTGGGCGTGTTTTCGTAGTTTGCAGCTTTCACCTCAAACCTATCTTTTATACTTACCCACAACAACTTAGGACATACTTTCCAGGTATCCGCCGCATGGTTTCATTCTTAGCGTTTTGGATGTACATGTTGCGGATCCGTTGCTTCGAACATTTCTCTCTTTTTTCTGTTGAAGCATTGTTTGCAGATATGTCTCGCACTGCTGTGTGTTGCATGGCCCTCTTGTGTGCAAGCACTAGCAGACAAATAGGAGTAGTAAGGAGAAGCTACAGAAAAGGACGGGCTGCACAAGACCAGCGGGCCAAAGACAACTCCCCTCAAAGTACGCACCTCCCCCGAGCCAACGATCGAAATTGATCGTTTGGGACCGTTTTCAATACATATTCAAAACGCTTGGAACTCCCCTTCGGGACATTGGAAATTGGTCAACAGCTCCACCTCATCCGTATCGGCGCAGCCCTCCATTTCTTTTCCTCTTACTCTCCTCGTCTACTTCTGCTGCCTGCTGCCCGTTGTTGCCAGCTGTTGCATGTGGCTACTGCCTGCTGCCTACTGCTGCCTGCTGTCGCGGCCCGGTGCTGCTGCCTGTTGCTCCCTACTGATAGGCAATTTTGCACGTGCAAGATCCGACGCTCACAAACACGTCTTGTGTATAGTTTGCAGGGGTGCGTTTGCACACCGTTTTCAGCTTGATCCAAGACGTTTGTTTCATTGGTTTGCAGGTTTTGGCCGCGAAACGATTGTTTTCATGCTTTCAGAACTGCGTGGCTCCGTTGTTTTATTCGTTTTGATGACCACGCTGTCGACTGACTAGGGCGAACATCTGCAAATTAGAACCGCGCTTCCAACATCCACTAACGTGGTGCGGAGGCAAGAGGGGAGCCTCCCCCTCTCCTCTTTCTCATGCCATCTCCCCCATACGCTTCCTCCCTCCCTCCTTCTCCACATACCCCTCGGCCTTTTTGCCTCCAACCCTCCTCTTCCCCATCCTCTCTGGAAAGAGGGCCAGGTACGCAAGGCGGTGGGAGGAAACAGGAGACATAGGGGTTGGCGGCAGAGAGCAGGTAGGCGATGGGAGGAGAGGGAAGGTGGAGGGCGGGAGGTGGGGGAAGGAATGCGGAGGGCAGGGGGGGGAGGGAGGCATGGGGGTGGGGGGCGAGAAGGACGATGACCTGTATAGGGGGAGGGGAGGGAGGCAGGGGTGTGCGAAAACGGGGCGCGTCAGGGGGATATGGCAGGGAACGGGGAAGGAACGTGAGGGTGTGGGTCGAGCGGGACAGGGAAAGAGAGAACAGAGAGAGCGAGAGCGAGGGCGAGGGGAGGGGAAGGCGTAGGGCGAGGGATCTCACGAAACCCTCGCACACCCTCAGCATCCTCATCATCATCAACATCATCTCCATCATAATCATCATTGACATCAACATCAGCATTAAGATCAGCATCGGTATCAGCACCACCATTACCATCAGCATCACCAGCACCGTCATTGCTTACATGTTCAGCATCATCGCCATCATCATCTTCACCACCATCAGCAACATCATGATCATCACCAGCAGCAGGCAGACATATCTCATGATCAGCATCTTCATCACCATCATCATCATCAACAACAACAGCATCATCATCGTCGTCATCCTCGGCATCATCCTGTTCCTTCTGCTCCGCCTCCTTCTCACCCTCTTCCTCCTCCTCCCCCCCTCAGCTCTGATTCATTACCCGTTATGTTCGTCACAGCCGTCCGCCTCCCGCTCCTCCACCTCCCGCTCCTCCCCCCCACCCCCATGCATTGTCCTTATAACTAATTTCTCCATGTCGCATCCCGAGGCAAAATTTTTAATGCGGGCCCGGCGTGTCGCCTGAGCCTTCCTTACCGCTAATGCTTTGGAGGGTCAAAAATTGGCAACAGCTTCACAGATGGAGGGCGGGTGGTTTTCAAAATGTAGCTCTCGCCTCAGCGCCGCTCACATTCCCTTTAAACATTTGCAAGAGTTTCGCGGATTGAGGAGAGACCGTTTTCGAAATGTGGCTCTCGCCTTAGCGCCTCGCACACTCGTTGCAAACAACTGCAAGAGTTTCACATATTGAGGGCGGTTCCTTTTCAAAATGTGGCTCTCGCCTCAGCGCCGCGCACATTCGTTCATAACATGTGCAAGAATTTCACGGATTCCCGCGATCAACGTACCAGAAATTCTGTTTTGGACGGATTCGGGATTTTGCGGGTGCAACAGTTACGTTGGTTCGCGGTGGTGAAATCCCAAGAATGGCGGTCTGGCACGACCCAGGATCGTCAAGACGCAACAGTCAGGTTGATCCGTGAAATGGAATCCCGAAAACTATGTTTTGGCATGCTTCGGGGTCTTCAAACGGTTGTCTTCCAACGAGGCAGATCCCTCAATGGAAACGAACCGTTGTAGGGGCCTATGAAGAGGGAGCTTGGAGGGAGGGTGTATTCCAACATCTTTGATGGGTCTTGGGTTTACACTGGTCCTCCTGCTTCTCCTCCGTCTCCCTCTCCTCCTCATCATCACCAACAGCAGCAACATCATCATCATCATCATCATCATCATCATCATCATCATCATCATCATCATCATCATCATCATCATCAACTGATGCTGCTGTTGCACGCCTTCGCTCTCTTCGTCGTCCTCTTCGCACGCTGGTGCTACGAACATGGGCGCATGGGTGGTTTACGACCCGCCGCATGCACGAGCCTACTCGGCACGCCTGTTACATCTGTGGCTTCCCCGACGCGGACCAGAAGCACTACTTCGAGTGCGACGGGTTCTGGAACCTCTTCGAAAACTGGCCTGGCTCGAGCCCGTCTTCGACACGCGACCGGCTGGGGCTAGACTCGCCTACCGGCCTCGTCCGGGTGGCAGCTGCCCACAAGGTGTTCCACGCCATGAAGGATCACGTCCTGAGGGGCGGGCGTCCGCACGCCGTTTTGCATACTGCTATCTGTGCCGCGCGCCGCGCGCGCCACGAGCCGTAACCTGGACGGATCTCTCCCGGGGATTCGTGATCATCATCATCATCATCATCATCATCATCATCATCATCATCATCATCATCATCATCATCATCATCATCATTCATCATCATCATCATCATCATCATCATCATCATCATCATCATCACCAACAGCAACAGCAACAGCAACAGCAGCAGCAACAGCATCAACAACATCATCACCGTCATCATCAACATCATCACCCTCACCAGCAGCACCAACATCGTATCCTCAACCATCAGCATCAGCATCCGCATCAGCATCATCATCAGCATCATCATCATCATCATCATCATCATCATCATCATCATCATCAGCACCGTGGTCACCCTCGAGGGCACAATCGCCTTCGCCATCATCCACAACTGCCGCTCCCTCCAGACGCCCATCCATGCGTCACCCTCTCCCTCCGCCTCCGCCTCTGCGTCCGCCTCCGCCTCCGCCTCTGCCTCTTCCTCCGCCTCTTCCTCCTCCTCCTCCTCCTCCTCCGCCTCCTCCCTCATCCTCCGGGTCCCTCTCCCCTTCCGTCGCCGTGTTGGCCTAATACGAGCCTGCTCGTCCCCCCATGTCTCGAGAGCTGCACGCGGCACCGTGCCCGAAGGCTGTGGCGGAGGTGCTCCTCGGTGCTCTTCGGTGCTCTTCGGTGCTCCCCGGCGCTGTGGTGGCGGGGCGGCCACTGCGGCCGCCCTGCGGCGGGCCGCGCTCCGGCCGCCTGCGACGGCACTCGGGAGGCGGAGGGCGAGACGGAGGCCCTGGGCGAGATCGGGGACACGCCACTCCTGAGCTGCGGAGCGTCTTGCTGCAGCTCGGGCCATCCCGGTCGTGCCCTGGGCCCAGTCTGCCCATGGCCCTTCGGGCTTGCGTCTGCACCCCACGATGCGCCGCAGCGTTGCGTTCTGCGTGGTTCTCGGCCGTCTGAGGTCGTCCACTTTGCGGGGGCTATGATTGAGACGCCCACAAAACAGTGCCTGCAATCTTTTCGCTGAGGGGCAACGACCTGTGGAAGAGGTCATTATGGAGACCCTGGAAGAGATCGGTACCACGCTCGATAGAATCAAAGCGGTCATCTCGGCCAAGGTCATCGCAGCGCACCAGGGTGTGCCGCCAGCCTTGAGTCTCACGACACAGCGCGCCACACCGCTAGCCTGGCGCCCCGCCATCCAAGAACCCCTCCCTGCAAGGAGTTCCGGCGTCCGTCCGCCGCATCAGAGCTCGACGAACTCCAACCTCTGCGGCCCCCCATCCCCGCAGACGGGCCGCGAGGCGAAGCTCCGGCAGCGCGGCGGTCGCCGCCACGGCACGGCGCGCGAGACTCCCAGCTCCAGCTCCGCGGAGTGCGGCGTTGAGAAGAAGGCCGAGCAGGGCAAAGCCGCCCGGGAGATCAACGCGGTCGACGGAATGTGCGCCAGCGTGGACGATACCACATTTTTTTCCCGAACGTCCCACCCTCCACGGGGGGGGGGAGTAGCTGTCGAGCCCCGTCCAGAGAAAACAATCCTCGGGAATCAGAGGCCCCGCCGACCTCTGCCGACGGCATTATCCGGCCCAGCAGGCGCCGGAAAGCGTGGACGACACCAAGGGGCAGGTGTTGTGCGAAGCTTTCAGTACGGGCCTGGAGGTCGACAGCGTGAGCGAGATGGTTAAGCAGCTCCAGCATCGCATCGCAGCGCTGGCGCATGAGCGGTGTGGTAATGTCGACACAGTGTACGAGGATGGCCGCCTGTGCACGCCTCCTCCTCCTTTTTCTCCTTTTGCTCCCCTCCTTCTTCCTCTCCCCCTTTGTCCGTCTCCTCCTACGATCGCTCCTGCTGGAGGGAAGAAGCGCCCTTCGTCTCTTCTAAGCGCGAGAAACCAGCGGGTCCTCGACAGGAAGCCCGCCGTGGACGAAGTCGCGCACCAACTCCTGGCGAGCTGGCGCCAGCAGGCGGCTTTCGGAAACCTTGGGAGGTTCTCGACTGTTTCTCTGAAGCCTTCGGCTCCAGCAAGATTATCGAGCGCTTCCAGCCGATTCTGCATCAGGTGTTCGCAGGGTGCTCGCTGAGAGTCGTATTGCTCCACCAGCCCTGTGATCGCAGCTGGTTTAGGGTGCCAGCTCTTTCGTTCCCCCTTCTTCACCTTCGTGGAGGAGCTTAGCCCCCTTACCCCTGTCCCTGGATCCGGACGAAGGGGGACGCGAGGTCGCAAAGGGTCTGTTTTGGTCCAGGATGGCTCCCACATGGTCCCAGACAGTCCAAGCTGGCCTCCAGGGCGCAAGATGAGCCATGATGGATCAATATGTGGCACTCACCATGTTTCCAAAAGGCCATGAAATGCTCCCAAGACGGCTCGACTACGAAACCTATCAAGGACCACCCCAACAGTCGAAAAGACTTGAAGAACAATGCTGATTGTATTCGCATGGTCCGCCTTATGGTGGGCTTCTGAGGCCTCCGTGTGGACCCAAGGCGGTCGAAGGGAGCCTCGAGCGGGTTTTAGATAGCTGGGCCCCCAAGTTGGCCCCACAGGTCCCTAAGCGCAACCCAAGAGCACCCGCAGAGGACACCAAGACGCAATGTCTGTTCGCATCCGACTGGGAAAACTCATTTAGGACCCCACCCTTTTCCGCCGATCGATGCCCTCCAAGACGGCCCCAAGAGCCTTCAAGGAGTCCAGACAGGGTCACAGTTCACCCCGGGAGCTCTCCCAGAGTGTTCAAACAACACAAACTGCATCTGTCGTGAATGCCTCGTCTCTTCACGCATCTTCGCTGCCACAAACCACTCAGGGATCAACAACGAATGCCTTCGCGTCGCCCCTGCGGTAGGCGCCACAGCGGATGTACGAGTTTGCTGCAGGGGTGTGAAGGTGATGGGTCAGTTGCACCCCCTCGCCATTTCTCTGCAGCTGTTCCTCGCGTCTCCTCGCCCCCTGCTTGTCCTCGTCATCATTTTCCGCATCCTTCGGTTCATTACTCTCCTCTTCATCTTCCTGACACTCGGGGTCCCCTCTCCCTGCCCATTTCTGCCCCCTCCCCTGTGTCTGGACGGAAGGGGGGGAAGCAAGGGATTAGAGGGTTCGAGGGTCCTCGTGGGACCAGCATGGCGCCCAACACCCCTCCAATGTGCCATAGATGCCCTGAAGGGGACTTCACGTGACCACGGAGCCTACCAACGATATCCCAAGCGGCCAAAAGCATTCACCCGAATGCTTCCCCATGAGTTTACAATCTCGCAGTTTCGCTTCCGATTGATTTCTGAGGCCTCGCCTCAGTACAACCCCAAGATCTCTGCGCCCATGAGCGCCCCATGACGCCCTCCAAGACCCTTAAGAGTACCCCAGAACGGCTCCCACAGGCTCCGACGGGGGGGAGACTAATGAAGTGAGGAGTGCTCCGAAGGCCCCTTCCCCAGAAGGACCCCAAAGGCTTCCAGGAAACGCCTCAAAAGAGGCCCACGATAGACATACGCAGCGAAGGTCTTTCTGGTTGCCTCCTAGCCTTCCTTCTGGTCGACTCCACTGTCACGGACGCCTGGCATCCGTACAGGAAGCCCTTCAGCTTACTGGAGATGATGCTACACGGGAGTGCGCAAATGCCCTCCCTCTTCGTCCCTGAATGTGACGTTGACTTCGGCAATGATGATGCGGGAGACGATGACAATGCATTGTGAACGAAGAGGCAGGGGAATGAGAATGCGGAGGCAGGCGTGGCATCGACGACGACGACGACGACGACGACGACGACGACGACAACGACGTCCTCTACGGTGGCCCCCGCCCCGGGCGCGCCTACAATGGTCCCCAACGACGTCCCCTACGGTGGCCCCCTGTTAGGATGAGGGTGAAGAGGAGGAGGATGAGGAAGAAGAGGAGGAGCACGAGGAGAGGGAGGACGGAGGAGGAGTGGGGAGAGGGGGAGGAGGGAGGAGGCGGAGGAGGAGGAGGAGGAGGAGGAGGAGGAGGCCGAGAACAGGCACAATAAGCAGCACATGCATTGGCGCGGTGGCTGAACTCAGCAGCAGGAGTGGCAAGATATGCAACATCGTCGGGAAAGGAGCATTGAGGATTACGGCCAAGTGTAGCTGGTGGAGGATGATGATCGGGAGGGAAAGGGAGGACCAGAATGATGAGGAGGCGTAGGCGTAGGACAGGGAATAGGAGGATAATGAAGAGAACGGGCAAACGCATAAGGATGACGTGGGGAGAAGGAGGGGGATTAACAGTAGTGAAGCTAGCAGGATGATGATGATGATGAGGAGGAGGAGGAGGAGGAGGAGACGGCTGAGGAGGATAACGGATGGGGCTGAAGAAGAAGTGGAAAAAGATAGGCGGGAAAAAGAGGGGACAGACGGAATGCATGGATTACCAAATGGAGGGGGCTGACATTGAAATGAAAGGCAAAGCATGAAACAAGTGGTCATTTCGCGCACAAGCGCCGCTGTCGCCAACTGCTGTACACAACATCGCCACCTGGAAGGCCCTACCACCCTTCTCTCGCGCAGGGAGCGGTATGAACATGTCTGGTAAGCAAAAAAGGTCGCTGCCCGTCAAAAAACGAGATGCCGGGCAAGCTACCAGAACGGTGCCCAAGCAGAGCAATTCACCATTGTCCAAGCAGTCCGAAGTAATTCAATATGTTGTGGTAGAACCCCCTCGGCCCAGGCCAAAACTGGCGACGCAGAGGCTGCAATGCGTCATGCACAACTGCGCCCTTCGCAGTCGCTGTACAATTCCGAAAGCTGCGTGGGCAGACTCCGATGCACCCCTGCCAACACATGCAAACGCACCCCTATCAACCACATCCACCCGACTCCCACCCCGCTCCCGGCACCCCCCCCGCCACACCCCCTCGGTAGATGGACAAAACCCTGCACCCCTTCTGCTGATGTTTATAAACACCCCGCGCGCCCACAGTTGAATATTAATATTGGCGGGCTGCGCTGTGATGTGTCGACCTGTCGACTGGCCGAAACACTGCGCCCCGCTGGCGATGCCAACCAACATTGAGTCGGGGTCAGGGGGGCGCGTTGAAGTCTGCGCAAGCACCCCGGTCGCGCGGGTGGTGCAAGATGTTGTCCATCAGCCGATCTTCGAGTCTTGGGCTTGCACTGGTCCTCCTCCTCCTCCTCCTCCTCTTCCTCCTCCTCCTCCTCCTCCTCCTCCTCCCCCCCCTCCTCCTCCATCGCTCACAACTCCGACTCGAAGCAGTCTACCTGCACGCTCAGGCCGCGCTTCTCGAGAGTGCGGGCGGCCTGCCTCGCCGCGGTCATCATGCGCGGGGGCCCACACGTCCGCACGAGCAGCGGCCCCTCCTCGGCGGCTTGCCGGATCAGCTCGTGGAGGTCGGGCCTGCCGAAGCCGACGCGGGGCGGCGCGCGACCCACCACCCGCAGGACTTCAGCGGACGTGCCCGCGGCGGCCAAGTGCTGCTGTGCGGGATCAGCGGCGGCTGCGGTGGCAAGCCCGCCAAGCTGCCCTTGCGGGCGCTGCAGGGCCCGCCACAGCCTCAGGCTGGCGCTCACGGCAAGGCCGCAGAGCATCGCGAAGCTGGCCACCACCAGGAGCGGCTGGACGCGGCTGGCCATTACGTACGCGGCGAGGGAGCTTGGCCTCTTCGTGTGGCTCTCCCCCAGCTCGCCCGCCAGTTCGACAGAGGCTGTCACGGACGCCGCGGTGAGCAGCAAGCACGTCAGTAGCTGTGCCATCGTGGACGACCAGGACGCCGCTGGTCCGCTGCTGCAGCTCTCTGCTTCGACAGGCCCAGTGGAGTCCATCACCGCGTCGTAAGCAAGCAGCTCCCCTTCCGAGCGGCCACCCGAAGTGACATACACGGATATCTTGGCCACCCGGGCGAAGTGGCTCAGGCGCACGGCGGCGGCGAGCCCGGCGTACTCATCGCTGCGGACCGCCCAGACCAGGTCGACTCTCTCCCATAGCTCGTCTGGCCGTGAAGCCAAACTACGGAGCACGTCGATGAATGGGGAGATGCCAACGCCACCCGCGACCATGAACAGCGACCGCGGGACTGTGCTTGTGTCGCAGACAGCCGCGGGCCTCCCGAAAGGGCCTTCCACCTCCACATGCAGCGGCTCTCCAGAGGCCACCAAGCTACATAATGACTTGGACCAATTGCCCGTGCCCTTGAGGACGATTTGTGTGTTGCCATCCCACTGGATGATCGAGAAGGGATGCTCGAGTAACAAACAAGGGCGAAAACATGATCTTTCGGAGAGCCATGCGATTGTCTTGGATCGGCGCAGGACCCCGGAGGCTCCAGCGCCGATCCAAGAAATCCCCGCTGACCTCCGAAGGTTTATGTTGACGGCAGGTTCGCGCGGCGTCGGCGCGTTCCAAATTTTTTGACACCGCGTCGATCGTTCAACCTTGACTCGATCGTGGCCCTGATCACTCAGTGCCGAATTCCGACGGGTCCTGTGGTGCTACCGTGCTCCTCGGTGCTTCAGCGTCGCTCTGCCATGTGGTGTTCCCGAACGCCCCCGGCGCCGCACGAGCGCAGAGTTCGACCTCGAACATCTTCGCCAGCGTCGCCGGCGCGCCAAGGCCGCACAGACCTACCGCGAAGGCGTTCAAGGTTGAATTCTGCGACGCGGAAGCACCGAGGGACACGGTGACGGCACTGGACCGACGGAATTCAACCATGAACGAGCGGGGCTGCGATCGATTAAAGGTTGAACGATCGACGCGGTGTCAAGAACCTTTGCGCGTGCTGACGCCGCACGAACATGCCGTATGCCAATTGTTCTCCCTCGAGGATGCCACTGCACGCGCGAAACACGCCTGGCGCGGAGGTAGACCCAAAGGCTGCCAGGCTCGAGGGCGTGAGGCCGCCCTCCGTTGGTGCTGGTGCTCCACGTCAGCAGCGCCACGCTGGAATCCCCGCTCCGGCACACGATGTCTGCCACCACGTCGGGGCAGACACTCCTAGGGTGCCCACAGAGAACGTACGCACCCAACCATGTACATGAACACGGCCCCCCAATCCGCGAGACTGGCCGCGTGGTACGAACGTTCGCGCAATGCGTGCTCTCGAAACCAACGTGGATTCACGCGCGTGTACGTCCTTCTTGCGCTCCAGAGCTCCTCATTCTTCTTGACCTCCAGCGGTCGTGGACATAGAGAGCCAGCCCGGGGAAGGCAGAAGAAGCAAAAGCGGCATGACCATCAACTTTCGGAGCTCTGCGTGGGTCTCTTGGATCGGCTCTGGACCCCCGTGGCGGCGCCTCTGGCGCCGCCCCTGGCGCGCTCCGCACGCCATCGTGGGGGGTCCAGCGCCTATCCTGGAAATCTGCGCGGAGCTCCGAAAGTTTATGTTTGTGACGTTTTGCCTCCTCGGGAAGGAGAGCCGCAACACCATGGGTACGTGGAACGCCCCCAGCGCGAGGAATACAAGGGCGCCGACGAGATGGGCAAAGTAGAACCACTCGTAAGACCCGCGGCGTACGCGCTCGTAGGAGAGCACCCCCAGCACGAGCATCCCAGCTGTAGACACAACTCCGAAGCCGTTGATAAGACCTTCTGTGTTCAGACATGGAGGGTGCTGGCAACTGACATGCACAGGCCAGCATCTCTGTATGACTTCCTCGGTGCCGCCGTTGATCGCGTAAGCCACCACGAAAGCACCACCGTGAAGGAAAGTGTGAGCGGCACACCACCAGCCTGCAACGCGGTGGAAACCGATCATGTCCATGTAGTCAACGCCACGGTGCATCAGCAAGACTGGCTGGCGCGACGTGGACAACAACAGCAAACCTGCTAAGACAGCAATGGCCCGGCCAGTCACGACGCCCAGGAACTCAAGCCCCTCCCCGGTGCTCTTGCCCTTCCATGCCACCACGACGCCCAATATGAGCCACGCAGCGCCGAAGGAGTGAACCAGCTTGCCAGAGCGGGCGGTGGAGAAGCATGAGTGCGGCACCAGCAGCAGCAGTAAGACCGCGCTGGTCTCTCGCAGGTTCAGGAGTGCAATCCTGTCGTCGTCCTGCCACTCAGACCAGCTATCGCAAGTCTCTTTGAGCTTGTCGTAGCCCAACTCATCCAACGAGTCGCATGGGATCGTCACGAAGGCGCTAAGCCAGATCCACCACAACACCCCGAGGAAGAGGGAGCAGAACGACTTGAGAGCACGGGTGCGCCACATTTTCTTGCGGCGCGACAAAGCGACCTGAGCGAACATGACTTGAGCCAAACTGGCTGCCGACGACGATGCTGCTGATGATGATGCTGGTGTTGGTGATGCTGCTGATGATGATGATGCTGATAGTGGTAATGATGGTGATGCTTGATGATAAGAATGCTGATTCGGATGATGACGATGATGATGCTGATCACAAACGTGCTGCTGCTGATGATGGTGATGGTGATGGCGGCGGTGATGATGATGATGAGGACAATGGTGATGATGGTGGTGGTGGTGATGACGGTGTTGATGATGCTGATGATGATAGTTGATGGTGATGGTGATGGTGATGGTGATGATGATGAGGAGGATGAGGATTATGATGATGATGATGAGGAGGAGGAGGAGGAGGACGGCGGCAAGCGATGGGGAGGGCAGAGAACGCGAGGAGCAACACCATCGGTGGGGAGAGCAGCGGCATGTGGGGGAGCAGCGGAAGGATGGAGGGAACGCGGGAGGGAAAGGATGGGGGCCGGGAGGGGGGACGGGGATGGGGGGATCGCGGGGGGGAGTTGCATGACCTGTCATGAGGTTGGCGGGGCTGGTGCTCCCTTCACTCCCTCGTCTGCTCGTACTCCTGCTGCTGCTCCTCCTCATCATCCTCCTCCTCCCCCTCCTCCTCCTCCTCCTCCTCCTCCTCCTCCTCCTCCTCCTCCTCCTCCTCCTCTTGGTCCAGTTCCTCGTCCTCATCCTCCTACGGGTGCGATGGACAGAACAACGGCCAAGTATGGATGGAGCCGTATGAACGGACCAGGGAGAAGTGCAAGCTGGACAGCACCATGGCCAGCAGTGCCCGAAATCGGCTGGAGAACAGGGAGGCTCACCACAGTCCAACAACTCGGGGCTGCGCCGATGGTCGGTCGAACTCGCTCGGTCCAGCAGCGACTGGGGTACGAGGAGAGAGGGGAGAGTAGAGTCACACATAAAATCATTAACATAAACGTTTGGCGCTCCGCGCGGATCTATTTGATCTGAGCTGGACTCCCCTGAGCTGGACTCCCCTCCCTGGCGCGCGGAGCGCGCCAAGGGCGGCGCCAGATGCGCCGTCAGGTGGGTCCAACACAGATCCAAGAAATCCGCGCGGAGCGCCAAAAGGTTATGTTTATGCTTTTTCCTCTCTTCAAGAGAAGCAGGAGGAGGAATGAGAGGGAGGCGGAGCAGGAAGGCGAGAACAACACATCAAGGACGCGCGTCGCTGTGCGCGGCCGCTCCGCCCCAGCGCAACTCCCAAAGCCACCCCCTCTGCGCCCAGCGCGCATAGATCGCGGCCCCCGTGCTGCCTCGGGATGTCCGCCGCACCTCTCCCCCGTGCTCCGGAAAAGCCAGCCCCAGTGCGCGGACACTCGCTTGCCAGGTGAGAGAAGGCATGTGAGACGTTTGGCTGCCCCGCTTGACTTGGCTGCAAGATGATGATCGACCAAGATACAAGAAACCACAAGTGGCCATGTTGAACATCCCTTATCAGTTTTTGGGCAGGGAAAAGCTGAGGACTGTCCAACATTGTCACTTGTGCTGTCGCGAAGGAAGGGCAGCAAATTGCGAAGGAAGGTCGCCCACTTCAGGGAATTTGCCGTTCGCCATGTCGTCTAGCTTTAGCGTCGCATGCGCCGCCGATCAGGGGGTGACTTGGTAGTCATGACTACCCTTAGGTCGGGCGTGTCCCCCTACAGGCGGATTTCGGGCGAAAAATCAGAAATATTCAAAAATACGCTACAATAATCAACAAATAACAAATCGGGCCTGTCCCTCCTGTAGACGGACAGGCCCGACTTAAGACTACCCCCATGGTCCTGCCCTCGCCCGAGACACGCTCAGCCCGCTTGAGGGGAGGGCGACGAGTTCGTCAACGCACCGCCTGTCCCCGGAAGCCTTCCAGGGCGGCCCTCGGGCGGGCGGTACTGGGGGGGTGAAGAAACATGCCCAAAAGGGGCCCTTTAGGGCCCCTTTTGGAGCCAGTGGGTGCCCAAAAGGGGCCCCGCCCGTGTGTGTCACCCCCCCTTACCGCCCGCCCGAGGCCCACTCGGTCCCCCCCTCCCCCCACGCACCCCTGGCAGGGGATATCCAGCGACGCCCGCTTCAGGACCTCAAGGAACGCCTTGAGCACGAAGGGCCGCAGCAGCTCACCCTCCTTCGGGGACGGTCGACCCGTGCTCCTGCCCGTCCCTCTCATCCCTGCTCCCCGTGTCCCTTCTCTTCCTCCTCCCACCCTCCTCTCACGTTCGTCTCGGCGCTTTCCTCCAGTCGTGTAGAGCGGCACTCTCGCCCAAGCGCGGGCTACTTTTATGGATCCGAGTCCTTTCTCATCGTTGTCCTCCCTTTCATTTCCCTTCCTCCACCTTCCCCTGGTCCTCCTGTTCTCTCGCTCCCTCTGATCCAGCTCCTGCTGCTGCTGTTCGTCTTCTCCTCCTTTTCCTCATGCTCATCCTCCTGCTCATCCGCCACCTCCTCATCAATTCTCCGTAGCTCCCATTTCCCGAATGCGCATGACACGATGAGGCACCTCTGGGAATTCCAGGTGCGCTATGACACGCGCCGGCGAACAGAGAACACATCAACGCAATGGGAAGGGATGGGTGGGCGGGGTAGGATGGCAGATATGGCGCGAGCGTGCCTAGCTGCCTAGCTTGCCACCTCACCCTCTCCCTCCTCCTCCTCCTCCTCCTCCTCCTCCTCCTCCTCCTCCTCCTCCTCCTCCTCCTCCTCCTCCTCCTCCTCCTCGTCCACGTACCCCAGCGAGCGCCGCAGGACCCTGGTCCGGGGTGGTTGGGACGACCGCGGCAGCCTTCCGACACATCGGCTGCTCACACGCTGGCCGCGTCATGCCGTCTGGCGCCTTCTGGGGTGCCACAGTTGGCACTTGGTTGCTGCCTCGTGGACTTTGACTGCCTATCCAAAGTGCCGCGGCCGAAGATTGGCTAATCGCCAGCGTGGCCATGATTCGCCCCTTCGCCCAACGTCACTGGCCATGCGCCGCTGATGATTTGCCCTCTAACATCGCTGGCCATCTGCAACATCTGGGTAAATACGGGGTGTACAGGTGTCAGTGCAGATCTTTTTGCTCGGGCCGCGCGGCGGCCAGTCTGCGGGTGCAGTCCCAGGGCCCTAGGACTAGGGCCAAAACAGCGGCGGGCAGCATGCACGCCACAAACATGAAAAACATGTACATCATGCGTACACGGTGGCACGGGCGGCAGAGGGGCAGGGGAGTGCACTCTTCACACTGGGTGAGTACAATGCTGCCCCGATGCCGCTCCCTACAAGCGTGAAACGCTGCACGCAGTCATCGCCTATACCGGCCCACAGGCCGATACACCTCAAGTAAAGTGCGGCCTGAGGCTCAAAATTTAAAGTATAAAATATGAATGTCTAGACTCACTAGTCCAGACTGTCATCTCAATGTACGTGCACACATCACCGTAGCCCTCACTAGGTCCATGCAGCGGCTGCAACAGGACCTCACGGGCTCGCAGGCCCTGGAACGGCGGCCCGACGCTGGGCCTTCCGCTCCTTGGCTCTCTCACGCTGTCCGCGGCGCAGCCGCAGACGGTGTGCCTCCTCATCCTCTTGTTCAGCAGTAGGCACCATGCTGAACAGTCCGTGGCGGAGGAACTGCGATAGCACCTCGTTAGGCTGCACGGCCTTTGTCAGCACGTCCGCCAGCATGTGGCTATTGGGCAGCCACTTGAACTTGATGGCCTCCTGCTTGATCAAATCCTTGGCCACCAACAAGTCGATGAGGGTCTGCCGAGACACCGGCATCGAGCCGAACTTGGACGTGTGGTCGCAGAGCGACTTCGCATCCGTCACCAGCGCCCCCGGAACCTTCAGCGCCAGCCTCCAGTCCCCTTGCAAGGGCGGCTCCCCGTGCAAGACTGCCTCAATCAGCAGCCTGAGGTAAAGCTGCCGATCCAAAGCCACGGACATAGCCGCAGACTCTGCGGCCATCGTAGATCCAATAACTCGTGTAATAGTACTGTTCTGGAACTCCACTAGACAACATACAGCTAGCTCCTTCAACACTCGGGTATCCGTAATCATACTCATGAACCCCATCTGGCTCTTACAGCCGGGTTCCTTCGCAAACGAAGCGTCCATAAGCGTGGGCACCTGCAAGCGCTCGATGTCCACGCGGCGGATCCGGAGAGTCGCAAGACCTCTCTTGTCGTAGTCCTGAAGCCGGTCGATGATGTCATTGAGCACTCGCAGGTGCAGTAACCCCCGACCTTTCGGATCCTTCTGTGCGAGCGCCGACGCACTGTACGCGAGTTGTGGCACCACACGTGCGACAGGCCATCGCACCTTCTGGAGCAAGCTCCGGAAGTCGTGGTGCTCTTCGGGAGTCATCTCCCGCTCCTCGTCGTCACCCCTTGCAAGAGGGTGCTTTGTCAGCTTGCCGATGTACTCGTGCATGCTGATCTCGATGTGATCGGGGTGGCGCCACCACTCCTCACCGAGATAGGCGACTGCCTCCTTGTCATTGCCATCCTTCCAGTGCTTGATGTTGAAACGCCTGTTGATATTCGCCTTCACCTCCTGGTACTGGGGGTCGCGCGGGTCCCCAAACAGCATGCCGTGGTCGACGTGCAAGGTCAACATAACAATCAACTTGCCGCTCGCCCGATAAACGAAGACAGCTCGAGCACAGCGCAGCTCCACAAAGCCGACCTCGTCCGTCAGCACCTGGCGGGCTCGGAGATGCCACAACCGAGGCGCCTCCGTCAAACCGTACGCCCCTTTCAGCAGACGAAGCAACGCATAAGGCCGCACAGCTGGCCATCCAGCACCGTCGACGGCTGGAAGCCCGTCCTTAGGAGCCCTCACGTACAGCTCCCGCTCCAGCTTCAGCCCGGACAGGAACGCAGTCGCTACGTCGAAGCACTCGAATGTCCAATCCATCGCCATTGTGATAGACGCACACACCAGCACGGCCAAAGGGGAAGTAGTAGGCGAATCCGTCCTGAATAGACCAAGCTGCGGGTCGAGGTGGCCAGGGATGATCAAACGCGACTGCGCCTCCAACTCCGGCCCTCGCCCCCGGTTTGTGCGAACCGAACGCATGGGTACCGAGATGATCTTATCCTTTGGAATGCTCTTCTCCTCCTCCTCGGTGACCAGCTCGACCGTGTTGTTGGCGATCCATTGCCGCCACTCGGCGGCATCGGCCTCGTCGAACTTAGCCTTCTCGTGCTGGTCGAAGTGACATGGGTCTAGCTCCTTCGCGTTTTGCTTCATCACGAGTGCGAACACGTCGTGCTCGTACCGCGCCTCCTCCAGCCATGCGTCATACACAGATGACACGTTGATCCACTCCTCGTAAGTCATCGGCTGCCGTACAAGACCCTCCGGAGTGTCCAAATAGTACACCCCCTGCGCCTGAGCGTCCGGCCTGTCGTGGTAGAAGAGCGTGAGACCAACCCAGCTGTCCTCCATGCGCTCGTTGGCACGGCTCGCGCCGTCGTCTTTGTAGGCACACTGGCCCGTGGCGGAGAGCATCACCGACAGACGATTGCACTCCCGGTGGCGGTCGTGATCATAGAGTCTCCGCCGTGGCTCTCGATGCACACGTACTCCTCGTGCGACCTTCTGAACGAGCGTGGAGACGCCGTCCAAGGCATTCTGGTCGAACCACTCCTGGGGCCCCGAGTGCACAACAGCGTTCATGGCCACCTCGCGGAGAGCCGGCAAGCCACTCGTAGGGGCAGCCTGCAGACGCGACCTCTTAATGCAACTCGGCACGTCATCTACCAGGAACTTCCGCTTCCGCTCGAGCTCGAAATCGTCTCTGGGAATCGGCGGCACCGAAGGGCCGCCAGAGCCCGTTGCTCTCGGAGAAGCTTCCGGGTACATTCCAGAGGACATCCGGCCTGGAGGGGGACGAGACCGGGCCCTCCTCGGAGGCGGAAGCTGCGGGAACTGCTCCTGCTCAGGTGGCTCCTCCTCCTTAGCCTGTGCCTCAATGGCGTCCAGGGCCCTCAGATCCACACGAGGCTGCCTGGACCCCTCGAGCTCACTATGTCGGTCACGCTCCTTCTTCAGGAATGTCTTCTTCACCTTCTGAACCTTCACCTTGAGCGTGACGTCCACGATGTCGTGGTAGGCGCGATCATCTCGCTGCTGTGTCAGCCGCGCGCCCGTCTGGATGGACTCCGCAGCCGCGGCCTCCTGGGAAGAGGCGTGCCGGAACTGCTCACGTGCAACAAGTAGCACGTGACCACGCCATGATACGTAATGCCGGCTGTTGGACTCCTTCGCGATCACAGTCGCAGGACCCCGCCATCTTTCAAGATCTTGCCGACGACGTCCCTTGAACGGATTCGGTGCCCAGAAATGCACCCGCGGCCCTGGGCGCAGATCGCCGACGACCGCCGGCGCCTGTCGCAGCAGCGCCCTCCGCACATTGTCCGTCGCGTCGCGCTCCAGCAACATCATCTTGGCTGCGGTGCGGATTTGAGACGAACGCCAAGCTATGTCCTTAGCGCCGAGAACCGACATGAGAACCTCATCGTCGTCCCTGTTAGTCACCTCCGTAAAATTCAAGATCCGCCCGAAGACAGCCTGCTCCGGGGTCAACCCATTGCGGCTGATCGTCGAATTCTTCGCATTGACGATGGCAGCCAGGGCCAGTAGACATCGACTTGCCCTGGACGTGGAACTCGTGCACCACCTTGCCCCAGATAGTGCCGAGCAATCCTCCGTGGCGCTCTGCCAGGCCATGCTGCCATGCTGCATGAGCTCCCGTCGTCTTCGTATTCATACCGAACTGCTCCATCAGCGCGTTGAAGTAGCCCTCGAACTCGCCGCCCTGGTCGATCACGATGTTCTCTGGCACGCCGTAATGCTTGAACCACTCGTTCATGATCTGGCGCGCTACGTGCTTGGCCGTCCTATTTTTGAGAAGGCATGCGCAATGCCATCCCGTGCCAGCATCCACCATGCTGAGGACCACCAGCTGCTCCTTGGCCGCGTCCCGTAGGTACTTCACGTCGATCACAACCGTCACATTGAAGCCGGATGGTCGCACGTCCGCCGTCCCTTGCACTGGACGGGGCGGCGCCTCCGACTCAGCACAAGTCGGACACTGCCAATGCTTCGCGTATGCCAACGCGTTGGGCGTTGCACCGCCGAGAC